TTAATGGTTTTTCTGAGCAGAAAGTTGTGTTCTACTTAGTTTTACTTTTTTTTTTTTAATAATTTAAAATTATTTACATATATATTATTTGAAGAGAAAAAAATCCGTAAAAATTGAATATACTACTCAGAAAAGGTTAATAACTTTAGCTCAAATTGAATACTATTAGATAAGAACGGATCGTTTTTCTGTTTTTTTGTTTAGTTTACTTGAATGATTGAAAACGAAAGGTTGGCAGGCAATTCCACTAATCTTCAGAAAACGTGGCTATGACGTTGACAAGAGAGAACGAAATCCGAGGTAGAGAAAAATATATGAGAAAGGAGAAACAATAGTACACGGTAGCACCAATGAGGGGTTGGATCAAGTGGTAAGCGGCTTGTTCCAACTTAAGTAAGGTCTCGAGTTCGAGACCTTGTGAATGCAGCAGCTTTCGTTGGGAGACTCACCCACCAATTTCAGGTGCGCGATGCGGGTCGATCTGGATTAGTCGAGGCGAAACCCCGGATACCAGACGGGAAACCAAAAAAATAATAATACACGGTAGCAAAAAAGATCACCACATTATAATAAATTACAATAAAAATAAATAAATAAAATTAATAAATTTACAATATTATTAAGTAATATTTATGGAATGGTTTATTTTAATATAATAATATTGAATTTTGAGTTAAAATTATTTATTTTTAATGGTTTGTACATCCGAATTTCACGAAAAAATTTTCTCTTTTCTTCAATTAACGCTTTAAATAATTACAAATTGTTAAAAAAAAATAATATTCATGTGATAATATTACGGGTTTATATGTACATTTACATAGGTAAGTACAGAATTTTATTATAAATAAAATTGTGGTGAATAATTTTAAAAAATAAAAACAAAATTGTAAACAAAACTGAAATGTTATAAAATTTCAAATGCATGCTAGTCGAAACAAAGGTTCCCTCAACATAACTCTTTACTGTTTTAAATGATAAAGACATATCCCAATGATGACCGTCCATTCTCATTTATAATTGAGTGGCCTTTGTTGTGCATCTTCCTGGGATTATCCCCTTGACCTTGTCACTGACTTGCCCACTAGTCTGCTACTGTAAGGGTTGTTTGGTTGGAGAAACTTTTTTATTTAAATTTTCTACAACTGTTTCCTTTATATGGTTATTGATATATCTTTCTATATTAAATTTTGACAATGTATTATTATTATTTTTTTAAATATTGAGAAATTCAAAGGGATAAAAGATATTTTTAAAGATATTAGTAAAAATCAAATTTTTAGTTAATTAAATTTAAGTATTTAAGATTTAAAAATAAATTACTAAGCTCAAAAATTCAATTCGACAATGTATTTTTTATTTAATTTTAATCAAGGAAGATATATTTATTATTCTAGAAGTATTTCTTATAAGAATATTATATACTGTAATACTTATCACATAATATATTATCTTTTCTTTTAAAAAGGTTATTAAAAAGGGATTAGACTTAAATCTTTTTCTTATGCCTTAAAGTCTATTCCCTTTTATCTGATTCTTTTGTATTTATTTATTTTTTTTCATATATGGTCACCTAGCTATATTCTGTCGACTGTTTAATTTTTTAGAACTTGTTCCAGAATTTTTTTCATTTAATTTTTTAGTTTGTCCCTTAGGCACATGTTAATTATACATTTATTATATTTTTCATTAGTAATTTATATAAAAAATAAAAAATAACTTTAATTTCATCAATCATTTAATTAAATTATTTTATATTATATTAATATTAAAAATAAAATTTATTTTTATAATTTTTTATATAAATTAATAATAATAAATAATAAATATATTTTTAAAAACACATATTAAAAAAATATTTTTTAAATTTTACTTCACTTAGAGTTGACACTTTCTATTGCCTTAGGGACTTAAATCCTTAAGCCTTTTCACTTTAGGAATTAGGAAGCTCAAACTCTCAAATTTCCAGTTCAGGGTTTGGACACCCCCAAAGTCTTTAAGCTCAACGGTGGTTTTTCTTTGCCTATTTTCAAAAAAAAGGGAAAAAGAAGAAGGTAGTTTATGGATTTATACCACCACCACAAGTAGTAAAGTGCAATTTTCTTAATGAAAAAAAATATAAAATTAAAAGGTAAACTATCTAAATTTATCTCGAAAGTATAGCAATAGGGATATATTTATCATTAAATAAAAAAAAATTTACTCATAAAATTTTTGATTTAGATAAATCATCTCAAATTTAATGTATGATACTATCTGATATCAGTAATCTATTATTAATAATATAATAAATTAATGAATTATTGACGTTAAATGGCATTATACGTTAAATTTGAGATAATTTATTTGAGTCAAAAATTTTATAAATGAATTTATCTCTATTTTTTATTTAAAAATAAATCTATTTTTACTATTATACTTTAGAGATAAATTTGGACATCCTGACCTCAAACCAAATGGTCCGTTAATAAATCTTCCATTGAGTATTGATTTATTAAAAAATAATTAAATTTTATTATTATTTATAATATTTTGATTATTATATCATCTTAATTATTTATAATCATTTTATAGTCTTTAATTTATATTAAAATATCAAAAGTTGATATTAATTTTAGAAAAAATACTTTTACGTATCATACTGATAAATATTTTTTAAAGGGAACGTGTAAAAACTTTTTTTTTTGTTTTATATTTGCAAAAATCATTTGATAAATTAAAAGTTTTATACATTTAAATCATGTATATAAATTTTTATATAGATTTAATAGATCTAATCACTTTCGTAACTATAAAAAATTTAATATTCTTAAATATATACTAATAAATAAAATTATTTTGATTAAAAAATTATAAATATTAGATTAATTAAAAATTGATATAAATAACTTACATGAATAAAATTTTTAATTTAATAATTAATTTTTAAAAATATTAATTAAAAAGTATATTTTTAAATAAGTATTCTAAAAAAATTTTAGTAAGATGACATGCCTTACACTATTTTTTAAATTTTAATATCATTTAGATGATTAATAATTAAATATTAACCTTTATTTTTTTAATAATATTTTATTTTATAATTTGAATTACATTAAATTATAAAATAAGAGTAATTAGATGAGGATAGAATCCTTAATATTAAGAGGTCTATCTCATCATAATTATAATTATATAACATAATATAATCTGAACCATACAACATTTTTTCATTTTTAATATAAATTAATTAAAAATATATATATTAAAGGTTAAAACCTCATTTTGGTCCCTCAATTATTGTACGGACCTCCGATTTGATTCTTGAACTAAAAAAACCCCTGATTTGGTCCCTACAGGTTACCATTTTGACCCCGATTTAGTCCTTTCGTTAAAAATTGATTGACGTGTCCTATTACCTGACGGAAATAGATGACAACATGGCAAAAAAAGAATGATATGGCAAAAAAAAGAATGACATGGCAAAAAAAAACCTTAAAATATTTCCTTTTCCCTTTTTTTCTTTTTTGCTTCCTTTCATCTTCTTCCTTCCCTTTTGCCTTCTGCAAACCCTAACACCTTCTAACATTAAATCAAAAAATAATACAAACCCAGAATCTCCCCAAACCAGTCACTGCCCTAAATTCTTTCTTTCAACCTTCCCAAAAGAACTCAGAAATATCATGACATATTTTTCCAAAATTCAAGCTTCTAAACATAAATATTAAAAAAAAAAAAGAAATCGAACCCTCGCTGGGTTCTCGATCTGCTAGGTTCGATAATCATAAGCAGCCATATGGGCAAATTTTTTTCCTCAACCAAATTTTGCCAAATTCTCAATGAGAACAGCCCACACAAACAAAATATTCACTAGCAAAATAATCAGCTGCAACCTAAAAATATCCATAAAATTCAAGCTTCTAAACATAAATATTTAAAAAAAAAAAAAATCAAACCTGGCAAATCGAGAACCTAGCAGATTGAAGAACCCAGCACGCTTGCCTGGGTTCGCACTGAACCCAGCACGCTTGGGTTCCTTGTGAACCCAGGCGCTGGGTTTGCAAG